CTGCGGTTAGGTGACAAGGATAAGGATGTCTAAACTAGAATCAGAAAGTCAAAGCAGTCCAGAATCTTTCTGAAGTCAATTTGAAAATCTGCACCACTCAGCACAAATGAGGACATTTGAATTTTCAACAGCAATACGGATTCAGTTCCTCTGTATAAGTCGGAGACTTGCACTGTGTGTCACGTATAGCATTTCGAACAGTCAGCTGAAAACCGTTATCCACAGGTGCCTGGGTCTACATTCGATATCAGATCGCAAGAAAGAATTAGCGGCAAGAAAATGTGAGAAAAATATAACCCAGTACCTATCGTTCATCAAATATGTGGGCGGAAATAGAGATGTAATCCTGATTGGTAACACAGTGAGAGAATTTGAAATCATTTAACTAGCTGAATGTGAGTGTAATTACTGAAGGATAAACTGAAGAGGCTTGTCATGTATCGTTATGTGCTGTGTTGTAGAGGCGAGTTGGACGTAGGTAGATTGCATTTCTGACACTGATCTGATTACCTACGGTTCACAGGATCATATTGCTACGAATGACTTCAGTTAGAAAACAACTGATAACCACTGGGGAGCGCTAGACAGCTTTTTAACTATAGTTTAGGAGACTTAGGCAGTACTCACCCATGACCTGGCCGGGAATCGAACCCAGGGCATCCCACTAAATGGTGCGCTGGTTGACCACTCGGCCAATGGGACAAAATCACACCACCAATCAACCCTGAATTCAGCCAAGCCATAGTGTGCAGCGCGACTGCAAGTTAGTGCCCTTGGTGAGCGCCTGTCGCCATGCCAGAATCTATGGATCCATTGATCACGATATCGGACTAGAACTCCTCAAGGACATTGGCTTGTGGTGGCGTTGAAAGTTGAGAATTAATGGAAGTTAGAATTTACAAGAATTTAAGTTCACTTCCAGTAGTCAACTAGCTCGCCTCCAAACCAGAATATGTAGACGAAGCCTCTACTATAATGAACTCAGAATGTGGTATGCAACTCTGTAGGCTACGTTAGCGTAAACGCGATGTCTTGTATCCACCAAGTATGATAGCGCTGAATATTTTGTGTATTTGGATCACCCTTCCTTGTAAATTTTTTCGAATCCTCAGACGAACCTACTTAGTCACTTGACTTGAACCACAGACAGAGATGAAAATATATACAACACGAAGGAGAGTTAAGGTAATGTGAGAGTCCGTTAGTTTTGGAGTGAACAGTGGATGGCTACCGAAGGGTCGGAAAAGATGTGCAGGATACAGGGATCAGTGTAAGGAAATCAATTAAGGCTACGAGCAAGTTACCAAAACATTTCCAAGTTCGTTCCACTGCTCACATATTTCCCATCTACGGCCGTTGTTAAGCAACTCTTCTGTGACTGCCATCTAAGGATCTCCACTCACAACATATGCAAACATAAAAATTACCAAAATTATCAACCATGTAGCGAAATTCTTACCACTTGATAAATCTTAATCTACCTTCATTTTCGAGCCGGGTGGCATGATGACCATGTAACAAACGTTACTTAACCTAGAAATGGTAGTGTTTTATGATATAAGCACAGCCAAAATCTCCATTTCAAACTGAAATCATTCCTTCAAAGTTTTATGGTTAGCGACTTTTTATTTTTGCACGGCAAATCCTAAGCCCCCAGTAATTATTCAGCCATTCAATACCTATTGTAATTCAGAGGTGACGAGATTTTACTGATTTCGGCCTTCCCAAGGCAGCATAGAAACAACCGAAATGGCTGTCTTACATGTTCTACTAAATTTCATTACCAGTGCAATGAAAGGAGATTACAGTAACAAACCGTCATTGCATGCAGCTCAAAGAGAACGGCAACGAAACCTGGTGCGTTAAAGTCAAAAGAAGAAGCGTCACAGCGAATAAGAGATATACACCTACCTACTACGATTTTCGACAATTCACCTGCCATCAGCACATCAATTGCCAAAGAAAGGTACTGAACAAGGAATATTTTTCGATAACCTTATCGACATAATAGTGAATGAATTTGTGTTATCAGCGACAATAATGTTTAAAAAATATCGAATTGATTACAAAGCACTGGTTATTTAAGGCGAGTCTCGATAGCCTCTGATGTTTGAAGTATGCGGTACCTGGATGTTTTTGGCGATTTATTTGATACTCGGTAGATGGCAGAGGAGGATTCGTCGATTCTGGCTTTGTGTTCGGTTAGAACCAGGTGGCCTAATATCGAGATATTAGTGGTCTTCACTGCACCTTTATTTAGCCACATTGGTAGATGTCCCCAAGCACTAAAAGTCAATTTCCTGGGGCAACGGCCAATATAACTCGCTCCACAAGCACAGCTGAGTTGGTAGACACAATTAAAAGCTGATAGTCTGTGTACTGCATCTTTCAATCTAAGAATCACGATCGGTCGTGCAGAAAATGAAACTTGTAGTCTGCCAGCATTAGAAGTTGTTTGAAGTGAATTTCTTAACTTCTTCGTAATTATTTCGCTAGGTATATAGCTCTTGAATTGCAGTCGTATGTATAAAGGCTTCTTGTTTACAGATAGCTAATAGTCCTTCTCAACTTTCTTAGTCATACGTTTCCTGATGAATTTGTCTGGATGGCTATCTTCAATCAAGGTATCATGTACAATCCTTAGTTCATCTTCAACTACCTCTTCTAAACGTATAGACATAACCCTGTGGCTGAGGGTCCTTACTATGTTTATTTTGTACTGGAGAGGAAAGGAGATATGAAAATGTGTATATCGTCCCGTCCATGTGCTTTTCCAACGAAAATTTCTCTTTGTACTACCATCTGGTTTTCTTGTAAAGAGGGACATCAAGGAAGGCAATTCTGTTTTGGGATTACTCCTCGCACGTGAATCTCATAGCAGAATGCACTTCACTGGATACAGCTATTATTGTGTTACTTCCCGAATCATTATCACAAGGAATAAAAGTGTCATCCATATACCGGCAATAAAGTTAGAATTTTTCGACAAGGTGGTTCCATTATCTTGTTTACTTAGAAAGATATCTGTAAAAAGGAACCCCATAGGGAGCTTATAGCCAATCCATCCCAATGGAAATCCCAAAAGAACTGTTATTAAGGCGTATCACGAATGTGAACTTCTATTTCACACGGTAATGAATTTTCTTAGGCTTGTAGAAACCAATCATATTTTGAAACGTTGTAGTATAAAATGACTTAAATTATTACATAAAAAGGCGATTATAATCTGTATACACATCTAGGAATGAAGAAGAAAGCGAAAGAGCAAAAATATTAACTTTCTTTGTTTTACTTGTATGTTAGGTATTACAAATTAAGAAGGACTTTTGATTAGTCTAGGTCACTGTGTGTATCTAGTTTTTTTCGTTTATGTATTGCTTCATAGTACAAGGAGTTATGCTGAATACAGTCATAACTTTTAATCAGAGCATAGATATTTTCTTTCGAAAAGTGAAACCTATCCCGCAGTTAATTTACCCGAAGACCATGTATACAAATGTATATTTTTGAGGGACTTATGAGTGTGAATTCGGGAGAGTTTGGATATCGTGGGTAGGTGGAGAAGGGTATCGGCACAGATAGAATAGTTTCGCGGCAAAACATACATATTTAGTGCTATCCCTACAGAATGATTGACTTGGTGAACCAATAAGAAAAAATTAGGTTGTAGAAGCTGACTGGTTTCACGGTATCATCACAATTGATATATTACGTAGTAATTGTGATCATTTGTTTCGGAGAATCGTAAAGTAATTATTGTAGATTGGTAATACAACCGTTTTGCCTCTGAATATATTAAAAGATATCTATGATGTTTTCACTTAAACTGATCGCCTAGATTATGGGAAAAGTACATTACGATCCAGTTTAAGTTATAACAGTCGGCATAACTTTCCTACACCTAGTGATATAAAAATGTTGTTGTAAATAAGTGCTCTTTGTTAGGCGTTAAAGTAATATCGATTGAGTTACGGTGTCATCGGTTGCGCAACCAAAAGATTTAATAAAAGTCGAATGAATTGAAGGGAGGTTGTTATCTAAGCCGATAGAGTGAATATTAACTGGGTTTTCAGATTCAGATAATAAAAACAGTAGGTCCTTACGACCTGTGTTAATCCTTTCAACATATATCTCTACAAAGACCTAATTTCTTTTTGAAATTGTTCGTCGGTGAAGCTGATACTATTTGGCAGGGTAAGGAGTTACAGCCGTTGACGACTCTATGTGGGAATCTAAATTCCACACACATTTTATTCGTTAGATACTAACTGCCTCTTCCCCCCTTTGAAGATGGGGTTTGTAATTGCATCCTTCCAATCCCTTGGTAGCCTGGCTTGAGTCAGGGACATTTTAGAAATCGCCGTAAATGGTAAGTATATTATATCCGTCAATGAGACTAATAGTCTATGCTGGAGCCCTTCAGGCCCTGCTAATTCACCTGGTTTCATTTAAAACGGTGCTTTAGAAACCATTGCGCAATCTACTACAACTGGGGTCATTTTAGTGGCAATGACAGTGACCTCACTAAATCCCTGAGTGGCACCATCAGACTAGAAAACATCCTAAAAGTATTCAGGAAGGCTTTCAGCCTTTGCCTCATCTGATTATACTTCCTCCCTAGTATTGCTTATCAGTGGCAATACATAACACTGCTAATTTTTGTCTTACGTTTAATATATGCGAGTACATTCTTCTAGTGGAGTATACACAGTCCACCAATGTCTTTCGTTCTCTGTGCGACTTTTATCAATCATATACTCTTCCCACCCTGTTACAGTAAACCGGTCCCATAAGCTGTTTTGCTTAACTTATAGCTTTGACAACGGCGTTGATAAAAAAAGCGTGTTAGTGGACTGACTGTGTATTCCGCGAAAGATACTAAGGAGTTACAGAAAAGAAACCGTGATAATGTAAAGTGCTTTACAATTAAACTAACACAATTTTTTGAATACTATAGTCGAGATAATCAATTCTTTTCTTCTTTTACCTTATGCAGTATGCGTCAATATTGAAAGTGTCTTACTACGGAAGGTGAATTAAGAAACTTACACGTATCCAAATTAGTCTTGCTCAAATTATCAGACTTCCTCTTTTGGATAAGAACTTACATAAATTTTGTTGAATTTGATGCTTATTTCTTTGTAATCAACCTGAAATATAAACAATTTAGGCACATAATCTTCCATAATGACTGTTGTCATAATCGGTGGAGGTATTATCGGTGTTTCAACTGCTTATTTTCTATCGAAACGTAAAATCAACACATTGATTATTGAAAAAGAAGAGCTTGCATCTGCAGCATCTGGTCGAGCTGGAGGCTTTCTTGCAAAAGATTGGTGTTCACACTATGAAATGGATGTTCTAGCTCAAAATGGTTTTGATCTACATATGAAATTGGCAGAAGAATTTGGTGATGTATGCGATTATAGGCGTGTCAACACTTATTCTATATCTGTGTCTCCTGGAGAGTCTTCTGGTGTTTCAGGGGCTCCATCATGGATTAGTGGAAAAGTTAAAAGCTGTTCATTGATAGGAAATACTACAAATACTGCACAGGTTAGTTGAATGTTTTTACTTTCCTTTCAAAATAAACTAGATTGTTGAACTTCTGAAAACTTTCCTGTTTGATGATATTAGATAGTTGGAGGTAATCGGCCACAGGAAGCCTTCCAACTAGGTTTCGTCCTAGTTGGCACTCACTGGTCAGAAAGCTGCTGCTGGATTCAACATAGAACTTGGCACCGAAGTGCAGCAGTTCGAGTTGCCACGTTCCAAATAGCACACAGAGATAGACAAGAAGATGAGTGAAGACAATCAATAGAGTTTTGACAAGTATAAGAGTGAAACAGAATGAGTAATGGTAGAAAGGAATATGAAGGTTAAAGAGACTGAATACATCTGCGTAAGCCATTGACAACGATTTTGAGCCGTGTCACCTATTGTCTTCAGCCATTGATTCTTAGAGTCCCGAGGGCCCCAACCCGGAAGTCTGCATCTCCCTACCTGACTCAGTTTAACTGTCAGGGATTTCATGGATTGATGCCATGTTTTTGTTTGACCACCACCAATTACTCTTTTCCAACCTGCACCTATATCAGCTAGTAATGCCCGTCGGGGGAGACGGTGGTTAGGCATGCGCAGCACGTGGCCTAACCATCTCAATCTATGTACCCGACCGAAAGCTGCTACCTTGACGTGGTGGTCGGGCTTGAACACCGCAATGACCCAACGAGCTATACTGGCTGGAACTTATGTTCCTGCAGGTCCTACCATGCCAGAAAGGTTGTTTGGATAGCGGTTAGACTAAAAGCAGTTACCCAGCCCAATCCTATGACTTCAAACAAATCACAAAATATCATGCCGGATCGGTCGGGGCCCGGATTAACAACGACCGCGCTTTCTGCTGCCGTGTCACAGGGCAGAAGTGATAAATACGCTACTGAGACACACCAAATAAAAAAACAACAAACAAAAACAGGCCGTGTGTGACCGGCCTCAAGCAGTTGTCCCCTGGGCTCTGCGGTCACGCAACCAACTTCCACGGTGTGGGCAGCCGGGAAGTAACAATCGCCCTCACAACCCGAAGAGCACACGAAACCTCTCTAATCCTCACTGGTCAGAAAGGCGTATCTGCAACCGTGAAGGAACTCATGTCCCTTCTGAGATTCGAACCCGCGTCACCCAGTGTGTTCTGCAGTCAGAGACGTTACCACTGAGCTATTCGGGCTCGCGATTGACCTCCTGTAGGACTGTAGTGGGTATTTTGATTGGACACTAGTAACTAGTGTGACGTGTCTAGTCCTTTCTTTGATGCAGACTGAATTCTATCAGTCAGGTTTTGCAATGTGGCCGCCATTCTAGGTAGCTCGCCATCACGGTGCACATTGATTTGATGATATTAGATAGTTGAAGGCAATCGGCAGGAAGCCTTGCACCTAGGTTTCGTGCTAGTTTTTTTATTTTTCATAATGAGTACTCTACACGCACTACTTATTACCGTACTTAATTTTCGCCTAATAGGATGTTAATCGCAGCCGTAAACCTATGAATCGATAGAGCAGTTTACATTTCATGTTTATTCTTCAAAGCATGTTCGTTCAATTCACTTACTTTTTCTTATGACAGATAACTCTCTAATTGAACATGTAGTTAAATGAGGTTTCACACTTGCTGTTTACGTCTATTGCGTCGCTTTCATTGTGCGAGATTACTCACGAATACATGTTTGAATTATCATACATTACAACTGTGCAACTGTGTGAAATAGTTCTTTCTATATGGCTTAGTGTTTTCGCCATTTTGCGACCTACAAAATCGTTTTGATGGGTATGATTATAGGAATTTTTTAATGATTAAGTTGATTTTGTTGAAAATGTATTTAAGATATCATATTATTATTCTATTGATTTGCGTTATTTGACTTCGAATGTTAAGCCTGTATCTTATCCGTATTTATGGTTTCAAAAAATATTCAAATATACTGGCAAGAAATTCTTGTTAATTAGTTAGAAGGTTTCATCATGAACTGACATCAGTTAGAGTACCATTGGAAAACCACCTGGGAGTACTGAACAGCCATATGATTCGTCCTAGTTTGGGGCTCTTCATCCGTGCGCAATCACCGAGGTTCGAACCCAGGACCTTCTGGTTACAAGGTGAGCCAGCTCGTGGAACATTAGGCTAATAGGACCCGATCCAATGGCCAGTTCATGAATTCTAACTTATGCTAATTCACGACATAGCGCGACCACTTCGAAATGTATTCTTCGATGAGTTACTGCCTCACTTTCACCCAGCTGTACCCTACTGGCCACGGTTTCCCACTAGAATCCCAGGTTTACTGCTTGAATAGTGCCAGTCGCTAATGTGCACCAGATTAATTTTCAGTTTAGTGGTTTTTGTAAGGATTTTTTGTTTGATTGGTTGGAGGGTTTCATCATGAGCTGACATCAGTTAGAGAACCATTGGAAAACCGGCCAGGAAGTACTGGACGGCTGTCCCACCCTAGTTTGGGGCTCTTCAGCAGTACGCACCCACCATAGGGGTTTGAACCCAGGACCTTCTGGTTACAAGGCAAGGTAACTCGTAGACCATTAAGCCACTGGTTAATTCATGAAAAATTCCCATCCAAACATTAATAAAAATAAGGCAAGTGGTTCGGCAGGTTTGAGGATTTCGACTAATCACCTAGCTGTTGGATGATAAGTTGATCCGGACATATCCAAGATTGGGGGGAGTGGTAGGCCAGCTTTTTGTATCTTTGGTAGACCATTGAGTCTTGGTATTAGAGATCCTGTTGATCTAATCTTTCCATAAAGTTCTCCACGAATAAGATGATTGTTCTTCATTATTTTTAAAGCTTCGTAAATTGTTTTTTGACTAATTCCGTTTCGTTTTTCATGTTCTATTTCGAGAATTTAGTGCTGTTGAAAAGTAGATGTGACCTTTTGATCTATGTAATCTTTACGACCTATGCTAGCAAAACCTGCACCCTTGTCAGGGTGTGTTAATAGTATATTATTATTTGTCAATAGTTTGAGCTCTTCTTTGTGCTGTTTTGTCAGACTTTACATTTTTAGTTTAGCGTTAAGGTATTGATTGCAAGAATCAGTAATGGTAGATATAAAGCATTGAAAATCTTGATTAGACCATGGTACAAGATCATATGTTTGACTGAGTAGATTCTCAAATTGCACATGTGTATATATAGACTTCGAGTAGGTCTTCGACAGCGTTGATCGCGAAGTAATTTGGAAACTACTCGAGTACTACGGCGTACCCCTAGTATTCATCAACCTTATTCAACAGCTGTACGACAACGGCACATGTCAAGTGATCCACAATGGAAAACTCAGTGAGGCGTTTGGAGTAAACACAGGAGTCAGACAAGAGTGCTTATTATCACCAATGATATTCCTAATTGTGGTGGACTGGATTATGCGTCAGACAGTGAGAAGACAGGGATATCCTGGACCGACATGAAGAATCTAGAAGACCTGGATTTCGCGCGTGGATGATTTATGTTTGATGTCACACAAAATCGAAGACTTACAAGCAAAAACCGACAAACTGGTCGAAGAAGCAGCAAAGACAGGACTCCAGGTGAACATAGACAAGACGGAGGTTATGAAAATAACCAACCAACAACAACAACAGCAGCAGCAACATCCAGCGCCAATCACCATCAATGGGAAGGATTTGAAAGAGGTTACTTCATTCACTTATTTAGGGAGCATTGTCTCAACTACAGGAGGAACGGACGAGGATGTCAAATCGAGAATCGGAAAGGCGAGAAACACATTCATCAACCTAAAACCAATCTGGAAATCTTCGTCACTCACCATCAACAACAAAATTCGGATTTCCAATACAAACGTCAAGTGAGTTCTTCTATACGGATCAGAAACTTGGCGGGTCACAAAGAATATTTCCAACAGCCTGTTGCAGACCTTTATCAACAACTATCTTCGCTCTATACTGAAGACCAGATCGCCGGAAAGAATCACCAACAAACAAAACAAGAGCCAATCGCCCAACAAATATGCAGGAGAAAGTGGAGATGGGTTGGACACTCACTGAGGAGGCCGCTGGGTGGTTTCGCGCGTCAGGTCCTCGAGTGGAACCCGAAAGGGAAGCGGCGAGTGGGACGTCTGAGGGTGACATGGAGGAGATTGTGTGAAGGGGAGTTGAAACAGTATGGACTAACATGGATGCAGGTGAAAAGTATGGCAGAAGACAGAAACAGGTGGAGACGCGCAGTTGAAGCCCTATGTTCCACTAGGAACCCAAGGGAACAATTATATATATATATATATATATATATATATATATAAATGATATTCACATCAAAACAAAATACGACATGATTTTATCTTGTCACTTTTTCTTTTTTGTAGGTGAATCCAGGAAAACTCACAAGAGAATTATTTCGTCGTACTCAGCATTTAACCAATGATGGAACACAAGTGAAAATAGCGCGAGTTATTGGATTAGAATTTGCAAAATCACAAACATCTACTCCATGTGTTGCTGCTGTTCGAGTAATCGGGTCCTCATCGTCAGATTCTCATACTGAGCTTATACCAGCTAGTTTAGTTATCCTTACAGCAGGACCTTGGTCAAGTGAAGCTGTCAAATGGTTACCATCAGGTTGTTTAAAGCCGAATACATTTCAAGGAAGACGAGCACATAGTATTATATTAAAGCCTATAGTAGAAAATTGTCCAATAGATGCTAAATGCTTATTTATGGAATATCAAGGTTTAGAGTATAAATGTTCACCGGAAGTTTATCCAAGACCTGATAATACAGTTTATGTTTGTGGTCTTGGCGATGGGGAAGTAAGTCAGATGCCTATTTATTTTTCGTAATACTTTTTATCAGATACATGTATATGATTGATGGATGGTGACTAGCAGTGGAATCCAGCCAGGATGCGCATATCGTCCTATTTGGGACTCGTCAACTGGATGTACCTGCATTTCTCAGTGAATGATGATGTTTCCACCGAGGCTCGAACCCAGTGCTTTTAGTTTCAAACGCCAAAGCGTTATCCACTAGACCACTTGGGCCATGAGACCCACCTCTTGTGCAATTTTAGATTTTCCCGTCGATTGATTGGACGAAATGCGCATCCTGGATTCCACTGCTAGCCACCATCCATCAATTAACTCCTAATTAAATGCCCAAACATCGTCGAAGCATCTGCACAAGAAACCAACATCTTAACCTGAGACCGAGCACTTCGGTCCAATCAATCGATGGGAAAATCTCAAATTCAATTAAATATATGTGTATGCTTTATATTAGAAATGTGTTATATGATTCAACTAGTTCCCTCTGTGGTATACTTCGATGACATAATGGAGAACAGCTGTCGTAGAATCAGATGAATCCGTTTTGTCTCGTAGGGTCTTCATCAGCTGAATAGCTGAATAAATAAACAATCACTGTGACGTAATCTTTGATAATGCCTTACTATTATTTTTATTAAAACAAACTCAATACATGGGCAGTAAGATGCACAAGGGTTGGAATACTATCCGAACGTCCAGATCCAAGTAGGTGGTTGTCTTAAGGGGCCACTGCCCCGCGTGGCTACAACTTGAAGTCTGATACACAAGGCAGTAGAGAAGTATTAGGAGCTATATTCCCACAGTTGACGGCGACCAAAGGTAGGTTCATGCACCACTTGATTATTTCGTATTCTGGAACCAAGGTACACCACACTGTACCACTAGTACTGTTTCTTGAATAAAGCAAATTATTATTATTATCATTATTATTATAGATTCGGAATCAAGGTTTTCCAAATTCCCTAGGTAGACCACCTGTATGTCCACCAGTCTGGTTGTAAACACCAGACGCTCGCACTTGCCCTTTCATTATTGTAAGGAATATCTTATGTTTGTGAAGACAGTGAATGGAACTTCCATATTAGAGACTATTAACGCGTGACCATATTAGATTATTTAGAGAGGAAGACCGAAGTCAGCTCACTCCTGACTGTAACAGGACGTTTGTGGGAGCGATCATTATCCACTGGTCGACTGGATGAATAGTCGTTTTATTTTAGAAGACTAGAATATAACATTCAGACAATTACAATGTTCATATTATACAGAAATATTGAGGATAGGCTTCGGTCGAGTTCTAGGTAAAGAGGGAAAATCAATCGACGAGTTTGTGAAGTTACACCGATTGAGGTGGTTAGAACATGTGTTACGTATGCCTAGTCATTGCCTTCCTCGGCGGGCAATGTTAGATGATATAGGGTCAGGCTGGAAAAGAGTTAGCTAGTGGTGGTCAAACCAAAACATGGCACCAGTCAATAAAATCTACAACAGTTGGTCTAAGCCACGTAGGAAGGTGTAGACTTCCTGGTTGGGGTCCTCGGGACTGTAAACACCAATGGCTGAAGACAGTTAGTGATATGGCTCAAAATCGTTCTCAATGGATGACGCAGATGCATCCACTCCTTGTGACTTATAATTTCCAATGAAACTGTTGTGTTCTTCGTTATTACTATTCCTCTGTCTCACACCTCTGTCTACTGTCCCTATTATGCATTTCTTCTATTTTCTTCTGTTGCTTTGTGTGCTACATGGAGGGAGTGTGGCGACTGGAACTGCTGCACATCGGTGCAAAGTTCTATGTTGAAAACAGACAGACATTATACAGAAAGTTAGAATTATAAAATTATGATCAAAGTAGGAACATTCTTATTTGGTTACTGGATTGATCGTGAAGGAAGGAGCACTAGGTATCTGTTTTTGCACTAGCTTCGGACTCTTCAGTGATGCTCACTCATAGTCTTCCGGTTACGATCCGATCCAATGACCCATGAATTCTAAGCCTATTCGTTATATAATTTACGCGATCTCCCACAAGAAGAGGAAAGTTCTGAAATTCAAAATGGAAATCAGACATAAGTAGCAGTAGTGGTTACAGAATTCTGGGTTCATCAAAACAAAGTTGAACGAAGTGAGTGATAACACAGCCATTAACTAAAATATTACTTAATGTGAAAGAAGATGAGTGTAAGCGCAATATCGCTTGAAATTAAGTCACGCGTAGATATAGGCTATCCCGGTCCAGAACAAACAAGAAGCCGGTCACTGTTTCTACGGTACTATTAATAAACAAATCAATTAATATATATACAACAAACCTTAACGGTTTCAAGAGTACAATACACAATGCTTAACAGAAAGCAAGGCACCGCTATCAGAGCGGATAAACGTTAAAGCCAAAATTACGAACTAGCCGGATCAGACACGACCGTTCAGGTAAGCAGTCAGTAGAAGAATGAACCCAAGTAAGAGATAGACAAAGCATAGGCACAAAGATAGAATTTAATTGGCTACTTAACCAATCAATAAATAAGATAAACTCAACAGAATAATACAAAGTAAGACATGGGTCAGCAAAATAACAGTTCACAAAAATACTCTGATTGGGTCATGAGTTCAACTGTCTGACTAAAAGGATCGAAGTAAAAACACACATACACAGTTAATTAAACAAGGTGGGATAGACACGTTGGGCATGGATAATTGTGTTGCAACAATGCTAGGCTGATCCGGGACAGGTTGACTTGATTTAAGGATGGGAATTGAATTCATCTTACACCGGTCCCCAAAATCCGACTAGGATTTTATGAATCATGTTACACCGAATAACCCTCGTGCCCGGCTCTCTTACAGTGTCTGATGGAGTCTCCATACTTATATTTCGACAGACCGATAGTAGGTGATTTGGCGTGAGAGTTAGATGATCTCTACTATCCGATGTTGATGGTACAAGCGGTCGATCATTCAATATGCGTTCTACCTCTGCCTTATCACATAGTATATGTAACTGTTGGGTGCAGTTTTCAGAGTCGAAATTGCGTCCAATACATCTAGGGATTCTCAAAGCCGCTATTCTCTTCACGGCGCCTATCCAATTCTGCCAGACTTCCTCGTTTTGTGAGGACAATGACTGAACCCATCCCATATTTTGTTTGCAGAGTGACTGTAACATCAGCTTTGCCGGAAGCAACAGTGGCGACAGTATCCCAAGTGGATCAAAGATAGAAGATACTACTGATAGAATGCCACGTCTTGTAACAGGTTTTCGCGGGATTTTGAAGGGGAAAACAAAGCAATCTATCTCCGAGTTCCATTCTAAACCCAACGTACGTTCTACCTTCACTGTATCTCCATTGATGAATCGAGACGTCGGGGTAGGCTCCTTTAGCGTTACCGATTTTGATACTTCTGCCCGGTTAGCAATCCATTTATGCAGTCGGAAACCTGCACGACTTAGCAGATCACTTACATCAGTGATAAACCTACTGGCGGTCTCAACATCCTCAAAGCATGCCAAGCAGTCGTCGACATAAAAGTTGTTCCGTACTATATCTCTTACTGTTTCCGGATATAAGCAACCAAAGTCCTCTACTGCCTTTCTCAACGCGAAGTTCGCACAGAAGGGTGATGAAGTTGCCCCGAACGGATGCGCTGTCATCTGAAACTCCTGCGGCTCTTCGTCTAGAAAACCATTTTTCCACCACAGAAATAGTAATGCTCGTCGATCGTCTACTGGCACCTTCACTTGCATAAACATATCAGCTATGTCCGCGACTACAGCAATAGGCTTTTCTCGAAAGCGCAACAGAACACCAACAAGCTCGGTAATCGTATCAGGTCCTTCATATAGCTTATCGTTCAAAGAATAGCCTCTAAAGGTTGCGGCGCAATCTAGAACTATTCTCAGTTTATCTGGCTTTTTCGGTTTCTTTACGGGATGATGTGGAAGATACCACCTCGGGCGATAGTTGGCTGCTAGCTGCTCTGAGGGTACCGGAAGGGCATAACCATTTTTTAACATCGTATTTATCCCATCCACATATCGTGCTAAAAGGTTCTTGTCACGCGATAACCTCCGTTTCAGACTGAGTAACCGATTTATGGCGACTACATAATTATTGTCCGTTACCTTTGCTGGATCTTTCCATGGCAAGGGAATGATGTAATGCCCCTTTTCTAAGACGGTGCTTTGAGTAACCAACTCGATTGCCTTACGATCTTCGATAGAAAATGAGTGTTCGTTTTCTTCAGTATCCCTAAACTCAGCTTCATATGGCCTTCTGATGTCGTCTTTGATACTATCTTCGCTGATTCGAGCGTAGTTGACAGTGCCTCTTTTCGTATTTCCAATGTTCCGTTTGTCGTCCACGGCTAACTTCACATGCAGCTCGGCCATTTCGACATCATGTCTAGCCTTTAGCAACTTTTCCTTTAACTCTAACTCTAACTCCTCTCGAAGTTGTTTCTCCTTTAGCTGCGCCCTTAGTAGCGACGACTTAGCACTAGTTACTCGCGATAATGATGGTTTCGACCTACTGACATGAGAGCCGGGGCACGAAAGGTTATCAACATGATCATTTATACAAACGGGGACTTGCTGACTCTCCGACTGCTGCTCCAAAATTCGCTTCCCTGATCTGGTTTGCATTGTTCCAAAGAAAATGTATTTACAACAACGTTGCGTGCTGCCAATTCACCAAAGTTTCTTCTGGATGAACGTTCAGTACTGACCAGTTCAGTACGGTCTCTTCCGTCAAGGGCTGATCCGGGAAACTTTAACTCTATACGTTAAGTACTGACCAGTTCAGTACGGTCTTTTCCGGCTTTGAGCGTTAAGTACTGACCAGTTCAGTACGGTCTATTCCGTCAAGGCGTTCAGTACTGACCAGTTCAGTACGGTCTCTTCCGTCAAGGGCTGATCCGGCAAACTTTAACTCTATACGTTAAGTACTGTAAGCGCAATATCGCTTGAAATTAAGTCACGCGTA